TAATTTTGAGTGTTCTGTTGATTAATTCGTACATAATATTTAATCATATTCTTGCGTTAAATAGACTTAACTTGTGAAGACAATGGTACTTTAGAAATTTTCCATTCGTAATATTAAAATTATAGCTGGATTTCTGTTAGTGTCTACATTATAATAGATACATGAAATGTGATTTTTGGTAATAAAATTGTTTCGAAACTTATTAACCCTTTTAGAAATGGAAGCTTCTCCTTACATTTAACGATTAAGCTTAAGAACTACTATGGGGTCAGACAGACAGAAGAAGGGGTAATTGTACAATTCAGAAAAAATGAAGAGAAATTTAGGAGACAATTTGCTAAGAATAAGTAAAAGTGGTTGACCTCAGAAATCATCCTACTGAAAGGGTGTGAGAAAACATATGGAGGTACTATAAATAGATAATAAGCCAGAAGAATGTGTTAAAGTTGTATTTTTATCACTTCTCTAATGACAGTAAAGTAGACCTGCTGACCTATGCCTATTCGTAACCAAATGATTGGAAAGGAAGGGAATTTACTGCCATTAAGTTAATGCTGGACAAAGCATATTGTGTGAATTTTTAATTGTTTTTGGAGGCTAATAATATATTTCACTTTATTTGATATTGTGGTTTATGTATTTTAAATGCAATATTACAAATAATATTTTATAAATATTAATGATTGCAAGGTGTTAAATCCCTGGGATTGGTGGATTTTTCTCTGATGACATTGCCAAACTCACAGTTGTGTTAATGTCACTAAAACCAAAGCCATTCTTTCATCCGAAGGTAGTGCATAAGGAGAGAAAGCCAAAATACTCAGTGAAAATTAAGTGTTCTTAGATTATTCTGTAAACCTTGGAATTTTCACTGAAGTTCAACTTTTCATTATTAAGCATCCTAGAAATAAGAAAAAAAAAGTTGGAGACTATTGATAAATTTTCCTAATGCTATAGTAATAGAAGGCTAAATATAAAAACTCATTTATTCCACACATGCCATCAAATACAAAATTCGGAAACAATTGAAAAATTACCTCCTCTCAGACAAATCCTTAAATACACCTGTGAATGGAATATGGGAAAATTTAAACACTGATTCCTCAACTATGTAATAGTTGATAGTCTCCTAAAATTCTCATTAGTTGGCTTTTAAACTTACTCTTCTTTCTTTTTAAAATATAACTCAATAGTGGCATTTTTCCTTTGAAGGAAAAATCATCTGGTACAAGCAGAATTGTGAAGGAATGTCAAATATTGAGAAATGCGTGAGAAATGAGAAAGGGCTGAGTCACTTAGAAAGTGCCGTGCAGACAGCCCAGGGTAACAAGCACAAAATTGAAGAGAGTGGTTGGTGGAAGTGGGTCAAAACAGTCCAGCGAAGCATAGTCATTACCTGACAAAGAGACCAGTAGGTGAATTTACATTCTTCATAGGTAATCTGTTTACTATCAGAGTCTTGATGTTAACAATCCAAAAATTAGGTACTTAAATTTTGTCAGATGCTTTGGTTTCATGATATGTACTTCTGCTTAATTTCAACAAGATGTTATTTATAAAGACATTGGTTTTATTTGTTTTAAGTTTTTAATACTATTCAAAACAGCTATATGAACACAGTGACAACTGAAAGAATATAAATATATTGCTTGCATTTTTTTCATGAAGCATGATTAATAAGATTTAAAAAAACAGTTGTATATAAACTTTAAACCTTCAAAAATAGGACTTCACAAAATTCAATCCAATTAAACACTCTTCTAATTCGAAGAATGTTAAGAACATGATGGTAGTATGAAATATATAGGCTGTTTGTATACCTTAATCAGGGACTAAGTTAAATTGGTGGTTTTTACATAAACACAGATATTAGATTTTTGTTTATATATGGATTTATCATCTTAGACTGTATGAATTATGGAACAAAACAAAGTATAATTTTTATGGGATCAAATAGCTTTTGGAGGATATTTTCGATTATTACATGTTCTATACATTTTTAGAGATAATGATTCTGATATCACTAAAAAAGTGAAAACTACTGAAAAAGGTGCTGAATGAAGAATAAGCCGACTGCGCCTGCTCAGCCCCTACTTGTACCTTTATGGGAATATATTATGAATTTTTGTAGTCCTTCTTCCTCCTCTCCTCACATTCCCATTGTCTCCTAGTAAGTGGGCTAAAATATTTAATAAAATAGCTATCCTTAGATTTTTTTTCCCCAAACACTTAGAAAGAGGATGCCCAACGACTTGTAATTTTTTTTACAATAGATGCGCCAGGGAATGAAATAGAAACTCAGTCCCACTGGAAGGTAGAGGTCGCACTGCAGAGCTGTCTCCAAATTTCTCATTTACCCAACCCTCATGTAGGTATATACCCTCTAGTTTCTGGAGAAGTTTGTATTTTTCCAGGAATAAATATTTCCCTTCTATCGTGATTTACTCCAGCTAGGTCTTCCTTTCCAAAATATGCTTCAGATATAACTTTGTTGTAAGGACTCTTGCACAGGTCCTTCCCACCGTGTGAAGAGACCACGCCCATCCTCCCTGCTTGTAGGTGGTCAGAAATGAACATTTGCATCCGGATAACTGATACATATTCCAAAATTCCTGTTCAAAGGCTGTCATACATTTTTGCCATGGATATAAAGAGTTTGTGGATTTTCTATCAATTGCCACCATTTCTCCTCCAGACCCTGCATCCCTGGAGGATTGTAGTAATTATGTTTAAATCCTACAGTCAAAATTCTTTTCTCCCATATCTGGTCCTGTTATCCCTATGCATGAAATTACTTAATACTTCTAGTAGAGAATTGCTGTTAGTCACCTTGCCTCCCTAGTGTGTCTGTTCCAATTTCAGGGAATCATCTTTTCAAGTGAAATGAATTAAAGATCCTACCTAAATAAGCTCAAATATGTCTACAATTTATTTTTTTTCCTATCCCAGGGATGGCTGTGATTTCTTAAAATTTTAATCATCTGTGAAGGTTGCCTGTTTCTTAGAAATACTCATATTCAACAGATTTATCTGATGCTCCCTTAGCCTGAATACTCTGAAGCGTTCAAGTTCCAATAATTAATCTCTCCTATGCTGAGACTCAGATATCAGAGCAGTTTCCATAACTTTGCACTGGAAGGGAGGTGGTATCCCCATAACTGTTAAAGATTAGACCAGGGCTGCCTTTCTTGCTAAGCAGTGTGAAACTGTATGGGTTTGGCATTTTCTTGGTTGAAAGGTATTTAACTGTGAATTCAATTTTTTTAAAGACATTGGACTATTCAGGTTATCTGTTCTTGAGTGTGATTTGGTAGTTTTATCTTTCAAGGAGTTTGTCCATTTCATCTACATTTTTGAATTAGTTGAGCATAGGATAAATAGTGCTCCTTTAATAATTTTCTGATGCCTGTGTGTCTGTAGTAATGCTCCCTCTTCCCTTCTTCCTGATATTGGTAATTTACATATTCTCTCTCTC